GTAGGGAGATCTTCCATGTCACCGACTAGAGGTTCGTCGGGATCCATAGGCTGGATATGAGTCGGAATCTGGGCTGAAACATCTTGCTCGACAGGTCGCTGGGAGATTCGATCAAGGCCAACCACGAGGGCGACAGCCCGCGTGGTGTAATTGAAGAAATTGAGCCACTGGTCAACCGCATTACGGCGCACGGTGAAATCGCGACAGAACTGACGGCGCAGGCGGGGAATTTCTGCGGTATCTGCTGGCCGTAAAACGGCCATGTCGAGCTCGGCAGGGAGAAGCGGCAGCCGGTCGTAGATCTTGCGGACATTCGTGAAGAAGTGCGCGATATGGCCGTGGTAAAAATACTGCCGCCCACGAAGCTGGCGCACTTCAATGGTTGTATGGACAAGCGAAATCAACATGTCCTCAACCTGGATCAACTCGGGTAAGAAGGTGGGGACGTCACCTGGCCGCATATCGTTCTGCAGTCCATAAAGGTGTATCCGGTCGGCAGGATTGTCCTTTAACATCTCGGCTTTATCCTTCTGACGGCATTAGCATAAAGGCCAGCGGAATAAACTCGGCTGGCGCCCTGGTGATCGAACTCACGCTCCTGGCAGCGAGTACAGGTATCCATACCCTCGGCCTGGAGGGCATTCTGGAAATCATGGACTAAAGCCCACTACTGCTCCTTTGTTAACGGCCCAGAGGCGAAGCCATCGTTCGGATTACTCTGTAACGGTAGTGGAATGGAGGTTGGCGTATGAAGGCATTGCGCTCCTCATTCTTTCCTCATAAGAGGAATGACTCCCAGCTTCGCCCATTAGAGCGGGATGGGAATGATCAAGATAGCAATATCGGTCGACATATGCATGCTAGCATTGGAGAACCACAGTTGGTCTTGTCCAAGCAGAAGCCTTCGATTGAAATTTGGGACGGGAATGCAATTGAGGAATGCACTGATCACGGCCCAAGTGGGCCATACGTTGGGGGTGCCTGTATTGTGCTTAGACTTTCAGCATTTCTTTGCAGGCATTGCTGTATAGGCTCATGGCATCTGTGGCGGTTGCTTGACGCCCGAATCGCCATCTCCGACACAATGTGCGATGAGGCGTGAGAAGGTTGAAACAGTCAATTGAGTGCTGATGATTCCCAGGTTCGGGATCCTCTTTGATAAACGGATTCTGCGCTCCTGAGTATGCGTCCGTGCTCAGTTTTCGAGCGGTTGGGTAGTCGACCTGATTCTTTTGACGCATGTGGAATAGGACGAGATCTCTCTTTCCGGAGTCTCGTAGACCCTGCGCCACCTTCATTTCAAAGTGTGCTTTTTGGGATCCATATTGTGCCTGGAAATCATCTGCTCGTTCCAAGAATGCCGACACAAAGATATTCGAGATGGTGCGATGTCAAACTTCGCGCTTGAGATCAAGGTGATCATGGGAGAGTGTTAGGCCGCAGTGCTGAGTGTTTGTGTTCTCGTTGCCTTCCTGGAAGTCTACCTCGAACGTGTTGATTCAGCTGGGATGCAGCCGATCAGAGAAAGACTACTGCATAAACTGGAGAAATTGGTCATAGGTGAAGGATGGTTGAGGATTGTTCGTAGAAGGGTTCTCCGCGGGGTCGAGGGTAGACTGAGCGAGGGGTTGAGGAGGTCGGATTCTGTGATCGTTGGGATTTTGCCTTGGCGAACGACCATCTAGACGCCGAGCCAGGAAGGGTCTAGGACCAACTGATTCTCAGCGTCACATCCTTGCCCAACGTCCTTATCTAGGTATTGGCATTGAATGTAAATTGGTTAAGAAATGATGAGTGTTGACGATGGTGACAGTTGTGAGTTGTGAGAGATCAGACAAGATGGCTATGAGCTTGACAAAATTTCAGCATATAAGAGAACCCATGTCACTAAGACATAATAGAATATAGACATACCATTGACTACCTTGCTATGCGTCTGATGGATACTAGGGAAGAAAAAATGTAGGCATATTTACCGTGGCTATGACCAAGGTGGTAAATGTTGCCAGAGGTCAGATGCCGTCTGGCTGCTTCTCTCAAGGTAAATTGAAACTGAAATATAAGTAACAGAATGCAGTAGTTTCGATATTTTTATAAGGTCTTAGGTTCATGACAATTGCAGCTAAGAGGCGAATGATGTGATATGTCCTTCATATGTGTATAACCAACCGCAAAGAATATATATATGTTATAGAGAGATGGAAAAATGTTCATAATAATAGACTAGGATAGTAAGCTAAGGCATTTTTGATGCCCTTTAAATCAAAGTGAGCTGAAAGGTGAGAGAAGGGAAAGCTGAAAGGGAAAGTTGAAGTGAAAGAAGGCAAAGTAAAAGAATGAAAATGGTAGAAGGTCATAGAACTTGACTCTGAAGGATAGGCAAGTGAGATCTTAGAAGCCGTTAGCACTTCTCAATTATCAACCTCTCAGGTTCGAGAATATCAAATCTAGTGATCTCCTATAATTATATAGAAGCTACTCTTCCCTTGAATACTATTTATATCATGCCTTGGATTTCCTGCATCTTCCTACCTCTCAATCTCATCAATACTCTAAAGAGCCGACTCACAAGAAGTTTCTGACTGATACAACTACTTCCATTACCAGCCTTCCCAACTCTCCCAAATCACAAACCCCTTCAACCTCTATAATGGAGTGCCATTCAACGGAGATGGTCTTACCAACCTCGCAAACCACCTCACCTGGTCCTCCCCAGTCCTCCTCCCAATCCTCGTCGCACTCCTCCGACTCCACTGCCACATTATTCTCCTTCTCTGCATCCTCGGTCTCCTCCGGCACTTCTGAGCCGAGTCCGTCTTACTCTCATTCGCATCAGAGTCATCGTGGTAAACACCAGCGAAGGTGGGCACGCAGCCCCTTCAGAGCACCGCTCTACTATGTCAAGAGGCTTCTGAAGAAGAGATCCTCAATGGAATCGCCCATTCCGCGGTCATAGACCGCAGAGATGAGGACTTGCTGAACGCGTACTGGTTGTCGTGCTGGTTTGTTCGGGGCACCCCGGAGTCCCCACGTGACGTGGCCGTCGAGGTCGAGAGATGGACAGCCGTGCAACTTTTGGCTAAGGAATTCCCGAATGTCCCCGCAGAGGTTTTCGGGATCGACATCAACGGACTCGGCAACGAGCTCCTTGACATCCTGCAAGGGAGTGTGCGGGGTGACATTTCAAAGAGTACGCCTGGTTTTTCGCTCGTAGATGGCCTGGACGAAGACCTCACGGAAGAACGTGACACTCTGGAATTGGCAATGAAGGCCAGCCAGATATTGTCTTAGTCGACAGCGCTTGCAAGGTCACGCCGATCGGGGAAGGCAAAGCCTTCTGGGTCCGAGACCATGAGGTGCAAGGAGTGCAGGAAAGATATCTGCGCAAGCTACTTGGTCAGACTGTTCAATACATGCATGATGAACAATGCAAGTATGGGTTCATCATTGACTATAAGCAAACAATGAATTTGAAAGCCCAAACTGGCTGACTCGATTGATCACGATATCAGGATCTTTGCGACTGTTCCAGAAGGTTATGAATGAGACCAAATCCAGTGTTGGGCAAGTTTCGGTCTCAGTCTCAATCTGGGGGATGTGCAGATGATGCTCGGTCTGGAGCTCATTCTTGAGGAACCCGGGCTTAAAGCCGTGGCCGCACAAAAGCATGCTGTGCTTTTCTTTTCTTTGCTTTTAGCGTGTAGGATATTCATAGCTCGATGTCGTCCCACACCTTCCCCGAAGACGTGTATGAAGGCTGCTGCGAGGCGATTCTCTCGCAGAGCGCATTGAGCGGCCACTCGCTGAGCCAGTACAGCCTGCTCTGCCCCAGTGGGCGGAGAGAAAATCCAAGAGTAAGCTCCCATTCAAAACCTACCTTGGCAGTGATCAAGTGCTTGTTGGCGTCAAATATCTGGTGCACTTAACAAATAAGATTGCTGACACCCTTTTTCATTAGAGCGCAAGTAGGCTCAGATGGTCGGGCTCTTGAATTCTTTTCTTTTTTGACATATATTTCATCATTATCTCTTTTAGTATTTCCCACTCTTTGCCACTGACTCAGGTGGAAGAATGGAACGAAAACATGCCCGCAGGTGCGATGTCGATTCAGCTTTATCTTCAATACCAGCTAGCTGTGCCTTATGTTCATCCCCCCGGGTAAGTTTCAAGTGTAAGTATAGTCAGTCAGAAAGTCATTGGGATACCATAGTAGTCTAAATGCGCCCTGGCAAACGAGCAGAAAAAAAAATAGAACAGAAAAAAGGTTTTGATTTTTCCCATAGAAACCGGCCCAGAAACTCCCAGTAATATTATTATTTATCGGTTATGCGCTCGAGGGCCTCGAGCATCACGACGGAGTTACCGCGAATGACCTGACAAGGAATATCCGTTAGTGGGGTTCTTGGTACTCGTCCATAGAGATTGAACGTACGATCATGCCAATTGAAACCTTCTCTCCGCCATCCTTCTCCTCGAATGCCTCATCTAGAACAATATTCATGAAGACCTGTGCGAAAATATCGTTAGTTATTCTGCGCTTGATCGGTATCGTCATCCTCCCATTGTTGACGCCAAGGCAGTACTCCACGTGACAAAATCCAGGTCAGGGGTATGCACATACATCGTAGCCTCGAAGGATACCAATGACTTTGCGGTTGCCGTTCAGTTGGCAGAAGACCCGCTTCTCCATGTACTGCGGAAAAGACACGACGTCAGCTGAGATCTCGGGACAAAAAAGAGCGGGCATAGTAGGAGGAGCACTAACCTTCTTCAGTTCAGGCTGAGCTTGAGGCATATCGGGCGAGTTGGTTAGGTATCTTGGGGTTTGGCAAGATTCAAGTCACCGCGGTGTCTTGAGTTTGGTGCAAGCTGTGCCGGAGAAATAATATTCCGGATATGAGATAGGCGATAAGAGCTGCCAGCTCTCAAGTTCACACGCTCACGCCACCAATTTGCACCGCTTTGTTTCCGTCTTCATTGATTGCTTAGTAGTTCCAGATATGAGTTCTAAATTTGCCAATCGCAGAAAGCCCCGCAAGATTAGCGGGGATGATGAGGAGGATGATGAAGGCGCTGCCCCAGGTACGTGGTGGGCAAGGATTACTTTTTTTCTGCCCTAGATATTCACCTACTAAGGTCGAAGCTAACATGGCGGTTTTCAGAGCCAGTCGTTAAACGCCCAGCTGCCTTCAAGCCGAAGCAAAAATCTAAATTGCAGTTATCCTTTGGCCCCGAGACCTCAATGACCGACAGAGACCAGGAGAGCGAAGTAGTCCTACCGAAACGGCACGGTCTAGGGCGCAAGGCAGTGGAAAGGAGCGCCGGTCAAATTCCTTCAGTATCTGGAAGTATTTCCGCGCGGGTCGGTCAGGACCAAGACCGGCCTACCTATAGCCATGACTATTTGAAGCAACTTCGCGATTCCACACCCTCAACACCGAAGACAACTACTGACGACGAAAGCAACAACGCTGTGGACGTTGCAGCTAAATTTGGAGAGCTTATGACTGTTTCGGGACCGTCACACATCCCCAGCGAAGCCGAGATCCGGGAGAAAAAGGCACGACGCGCACGCCTGGCTATGGAGCACGGTGCGGGGGAGGACGAGTTCATTTCATTAGACGTCAACAATCCCGCCAGCGGTGATGACTGGGATGTAGTTCCACGAGGAGATAAGGAAGTCGAAGAAAATACAAGGCTGGTTCGGGACGATGAGGACTTTGCGGAAGGATTCGAGGAGTTCTTCACGGAGGATGGCAAGATGGCGCTCGGGCGAAAGGCAGAGCGTGAGAAGAAGCGGAAGGACCGCGAAGCAATGCGTGACCTCATTGAAGATGCCGAAGGTATCTCCGACGAAGACGATTCTGACTTGGAGGAAAAGGCTGCCTATGAAGCCGCTCAGGTTCATGCAGCCATGGGTCATGGCAACTCAGGCGATATTGATCGTCCGAAGACTCCCCCCAAGGTGACAACTCTTCCACGGCTGGCTAGCAGTTTTGAAAGATTGCGCACGTCTCTAGCATCCATGGAAGTCTCGAAAACACAGATGATCAGCCGGATGGAGGAATTGAGAAAGGAGAAGGCAGATATCGCAAATCGTGAGGTGGAGATTCAGGCGATGATCAAAGAAGCTGGCGACAACTATGAGCGACTCAAGAAGGAAGCTGGTGTTGATCCCAATGCAAAGCTCGACGCTTCCAATGGAGCTCTAGAAAAGTCCCGAGGATTGGAAAGCATCGGTGCTCCTGTGCCTGTCCCGACAAGGGATTCCCCAATGTCGCATTCCTCGGATTCCAGCTTCGAGGATTCTTCATAACTCTTTCCTGGTTGCACTTGTACCAAAAGCCCGGGCGGCCTGGATGTTCAACTTCGCCTCGGTCATTACTAGATTCCCTTGCATCGTCTTCATGGAGTCTTTCTTGTTTCTTTTGATACCCAATGGACGAGTTCTGTGCTGTTTCTATTTTCATTCCCCTACCCTTAGGTTCATTACCTTCTTGTACTCGGAGCGAGCTACAAATTGGATTCCCGGGCGAGACTCAGAGTGCTAGTTAACCTCAACAACTGTTGCAACACGGGCTAGCTCCATCTCGTTGCCTTACTAACTAACACGGACAGCCTTGGAAATATCTCGCGGGGCTGCAAATCGACTTGTTCGGGAGAGGAGCGGGCCTGGCAGTATTGTTTAACCCCAAGAAAGCCAACTAGTGTCAACCAAACATCATCATTAGACCACACCCTTGGGCTGGGGATGTGGTGCTGGACTTTCTTGGTTTCACGTTCGGCTGCCATACAGGACCGCGTATAACACCCGTGGAACTCGAACGGATCAGCCCAACGTGTCGATCAACGGCTGAAATCTCGATGCGACACAAGATAGGTATCTGCCCTATCGAAATTGTTGGCGGCAATTAGCGGGCCCGCAGTCATTCTAAGCCTATCGAAAATGTGCGACATTGGAATGGATTTCACACCCCATAAGGTACTCTACGGTATACCAACATATCTATCGGCCCTATCAGCTGTCATAGGTGAATTTGCATCAACGGGAACCCGCCTCAGCACACAATCCTCAAATGCAAATTTTCGGCCATTAAAATCACTCGTCTCGATACTTCTCGGGAATGACATCTCTAGCTGTTCAGTGCCCAATCAATGAGGGTTCCAGGCTCTCCTACCCCGGGAATCAAACCAAACGCATATGGTGCCCCTAGTCAGCAAGGGCCTCTAGAAAGCGAGCTTTTGCACCTTGAGTAAGCCTGATGTCGACTCGCATGGTCATGATTAAGCTCGTTGGGCACTCATGCGACCTCACCGTTATATGTGTTCTGCCGCTCTGCGCAGGACCAAGGCTATTACAAGACTGCCGTCTCCAAAATAGGATTACTTTGCTACACGCAGTTGGCGACATTACGTCTCGGATTGCTATCGTTTCGATTTGGCTTCAACTCCTTATGGCAGATCTCTCACTGTTAACGAACATCCCACCTTGTTCGATCATCGTCTAGTCGGCTCCTCTCGCAATCTGTCTGGCTCGTTCATTCGGAGGTTGAGACGCGGACGGGTAAAGGGGGATCTTGCATTACCTACGAATCGGATTCCACAGCACCGGCTTCAATGGCGCGTGGAGCTTATGCTGATCATCACTGGAGGAATGGTTAACTGGGTCACTTGAATTGTCAACAAGACGGTGTGGCCGGCCGGGTGCACCATCTCGCCGTTTGCCTATGGTTTCCTCCTATTATGTACTTTAACAACCTCTCACTTTACATACACTCTTTCACACCTCTTTCTAACAGACATTCTATCCACCCTTTCCAGCAGTGTTTACCTACACGTAGTAAGAGCATCCTAAGCCTTATATCGTAAATACCTTATACGCCTATGTGCTAGGTTTTATTTATTATATGCCTTAGTCCTTTGAACAGCAGTTGCTAATTCGCGCCTGGAAATCGCTTTTCCCTTGCTTTAGACTCAAAAATGGGCAGTTAAGGAGCATGGGAAATGCTGAGCTCTGCCCCAATGGAGATACAACCTCTGGACGGTTCAATTTCGGCTATATCCCGAACTTCCCACTATCTACTGCTGATCGTCTACATTCATGGCGGCAGCTATAATGCTGAGCAGTTTGATGTTTCTGAAGCCATTCCATTTTAGTACCTCACTGGGGCATTCTATTGGCGCAATGATTGCCATTATTGTAGCGGGATCCTATATGGGAACCGAAGGCTATCTACTGAATGCGCACTGTGCGAAGTCAAAGTCCACAGACGTTGTGTAGTTCTATGAGAGCTTAAGAGATTCCATAATGTTGTAAATCCCCTTAAACGACTTCACAGATTATAAAATTTGTCGCTACATAAAGTACCTGGGTTGGCCTACGCCCTCCGGTGAACTCTATGATATTAGTATGACTTGGTTAAGTTATTGGCATAAATACTCTAAACGCGTTAGTGTTCCAGTAATGTATAGATTAGCTGAATCCGACGGGCTTTAGACTTATTCCCTAGAGGTATTAGAGGGTTACAAGAATGCAATTACGAATAGTCCGTAGCTATTATAGAGAAGGGTCCGAGTGCTCCTCATCGTCGAGTTAAGAATGTAAATACGATTTTCTATCCACATGTATATAAAATAGTTGGATATATATATTTAGATATGTTCTTCGTTGCTTATCAGCTATTTCATATTCCTTCTTTCAGTCCCCACTGGTTTATTGACAATCCAAATGATGTAGTCTGTTGCCTAGTTCGAATCATACCCTCGGTTGTCCCAACCACTCATTGCCTTCCCCGGGCATTTCCCAGCTGCCTACTCTGCACTCGGCACTCTTTCATGACCTCCCCGACGATATTGCACGCTCCAACCGTGAGACTGCGAATTGGTCATTCCGTAGCTTACCCACAGTTCAATTTCATCAATGCTCCCCCTTATTGACCGACTCTTTGACTCGTTGATATCCCGGGACGACGCAGCTGGCCGACGGAAGCGGGAACGCGACGGGGAGCTCAAACGTCTGGCCTCTGCGCCGGGGATGGCCTTGGCTGATTCTTTCTCTACTAGCAAATAGTATCACTATGAGCTCTACAGGGGTCCTTCGTCTAGTAGACAGGCATCATGTTATTCCATGCCTCGATGTCTTTGTGCGGTATTTCCTCCTGCCTTGCACTCTATTAAGCTGTTGTAGCAATAGGTTTACATTCTGCGCTCCTTGTCAAAGTTAAACTTAAAAGAGCCATCTCCCCGATTGAGAGCGAGAAACTAATAACCCTGTCCACCGCTCAAGTTCCGGTCCCAGAATAACATCTCCCCGACACCCCATGGAATACTAGGCGAAATATTACGGGCTCTAGGCGCGATAATTCAAAATCTCCAACTTTGAAAATGCCGCATATTTCCCGAAACCTTCGGTGGAATGTAGAATTTGTGAAACAAAAACTGACATTGTGTCACAATATGTCTTTTTAACTGGGAGTTGCTAGCGCAGTAACCGCCACATTGCATAGCTACATGCCAGCAAGCCATGGCCTGGAATGTAGTAGGCTGGATTTTCCTCCACCTCTGAATTGAGTCTTATGTCTCATCTAGAAACCCGGAATCCTAGTCTGCGACAAGTAAAGTCTGTTTAGGAAGGAGCCGAGTCCCCATTTGTGGGCGAAGAATATCCCCCAGCTTCTATGTCTCAACCCCAACACTATAGTCTATTTTGTTTCTGTTTTTAGCCAAACAGCCAATGCACTTAATTTGATCTACATTTTAGTCTCAAACATCAGAGATCTCAAAAATCAGAGATAAACTACACTAAAGCACACTAAAGTACCTACCCACAACCCCGGTGTCGGGGATGCCCTAATTCAACCAATCAATAACCAGCGGACAACCAACAGGCTGTGTAGAGACTCCTTTCAAATTAGACAACACCAACCTCTTTTTGCTTTTTTTGACAGGTTCTTTTCCAGCTTGTTTTGGTTCTCCACTGACCATCCCTAGGTCCACTGTTCGTATCAACACAACCCACTGTCTGTTTCCCATTCCCCAGATTTGTTTCAGATTTTATCCAGGTCTTGATGCTGCGTGACATACAGGATATATCACCGGGTAATGGTATCTATGGAATAATAAATAATAAGATCCGCAAATATGATCTGCATATACCGACAATCAAGCCTAGCGGCCGATTGAGCCCCTAGAACCTGGAAAAGGGCAAATCCCAAACCCACTAGGGCGGCAACTCCGTAAAGATGTAACACCAACACAACATTGCATCAAAGAAAGGGAATTTCCTCGGGGTGTTCCCACAGGATTAGGAGCTGAGGTTTTCTCCCCCCTAGCTCGGGGACCGGACGGAATCTTTGCGCGTTCGTGCTGCTGCAGGCTCGGTTTTGATCTTTCCGGTTTCAACGCCACCTAGGCCACCCCATCGGTCGTTAAAGAAGCTTCTTTTGAATACGCCCATCTCTAGGACGTGGAGATCCGGGGAAAGGGGGCCCGGAGATTTTCTTTGTTAAGGCTATGTTTTATTTATATTTCTCTTTCTCTCGGCAGTTGTAAGCGCTAGTCACCCATTTCGTCCGATCGTTCAATCCACTCAAATATGATTTTACCTATTCCAAATAAACCGACAGAAAATGTCCTGGCTAGACCCTTGTCAATCTGCAGTCCTTAATCTCGTAGGGCCTTTGATGGACTCGTGTTGGCACAAAGAAACTCCTGTGTTGGACACTAGAGCCTCAAAAGACTAGATAGGTCACGTCTGCCGGTAAAATCCTCTCCATTAGCCTCCAACCAGGAAATTGCTTCTACCGCTATCCTATTTACTTTGCTTTTTCTCAAGCAGGTTGGACTGGGCCCGTTGCTATGATTGGCCCGGACGCCACTTAGCCTTCCCCAGAGGCTCTCTGTGGCTACCCGCTCAGGATGGAACATTCCAAAATCGCCCGAGCCACTGCCAAGTCATGGAGCTTTAGACAGTTTGTTTACCAGGTAGACCCGCAGACGGATGCATAGCCCTAGTTAGGGTTGTACATAGTGGAGATCAGCGGTGTCCGCGGCATACTATGCTGGGACCGTTGCCAACGGGGAGGCTGTTCCGGGGCTAATTCACCCAGCGATCAGGATGGGATAAAATATAGATATAGACGACAAAAAAAAAACATTGAACGGAGATATATTGACTTGGGCCTAACGGCCGGGAGTGAAGATCTTCACTACCGTCAAGAATACAACCCATCCACTATTCGCTCCCGTTTCACATCTTTCCTAGACATACATTCGCCTCCCACAGGATCGAGGCTAAATCAAGACACAACACTAGATAATAGAGAAAAGATCTGAAACGCTCGGCAAGTGGATCATGGGAATACCGGGGTCCAGTTCCGGACTTTGGATTTCTGACCTGGCTAGGGTTCAGAAATCCTTGAGTACCAACCCATGTCTATATTTCTCTTTGTTTCTCGCTTTCCCTCTAGACGCCCAGAACAGGCCGAGATCCCTCTTGCTCATCTAGCAATGGCACGGGCCTCGATTGAGATTAAGCGGGCCGCGAAGTTGAAATGAGTTGGCGGAATGATTATGTCTATAAAAGACTCGGATAATACCTCTCCCTAGCCTGTGTCTCCCAGAACATTGATATAAACTTGATACTATTCCATCCCGTATCCTCGATTCCTAACTTTTAGACTGTCTCTCAAACAATATCTCCGTGTTAGCAACCTGCAACCTGGGATATCAACCTTACAGCGATCTAGAGCTTCACCTCCTTTCTCCTAACGGTCCAACTGTGGACAGATCTGAGACCGCATTGCATTCAACGGCTCGACTTACAGCCCAATCCCCACAAAACCCATCTCTCAAAAGCGACACAGCCGTGCTATTTCGAAGTATAGCTTGTACTTGAGAGTCACTGAGGCTTGTCTACACATTACAGTTATCCAAAGAGGCTTTTGCACTGCTCCTCACTTGCGCAATCGTTTTCTTGTAATCAACTCCATGCTATCATATGCATAGGGTAAGTGCCCAATCACTCCTGACCGTTCTGGTGAAACCTCTCCATATATAACAAAGCGCTAACTTCTCATAACGGTCAGCCCTGCAGGTCTCCTCGAATTCTCCACACTATATCCTGTGTGTACTGGTTCACAAAGAGGAAATCTCCGGAATAGCGGTCGTCCACACCCAGCGACAACCCGCGTACAACACTCGCAATTGCGGTGAAGCGTGGAAGACGATAACCCGTCTAACGCTGCTCAATATTGTTTTTAATATTTTTATTTTTAATTTTCTCCGTGTGTGATTCATATGGCAGACGTGCTGGCTATTCCAGGGGTGCCGAAGCAATGGATGGCCCATCCGAAGGAGTACGCTGATGCGTCGCGCGATCTTATATCCGCTTACTCGTCGGACTTCCTGGGGATCTCAGACGATTTTGATAAACAGCTTTCCTCTTCCCCCACCGACTTGTTTTCATTCTTCCACCCCTACACATCTGATTCTTGTTTGGACTTCCATTTGCTGCATCACCCTTCCCCAAAAACTCAAACACAACAACGTCCTCGAACGCTTGCTAGAGCCATGATGAACCAACATCGTTTTCAGGGACATCCCACGACCCTTATAGAGGACCAGGGCCACTACATGCCCCTCCGAGTGGAAGATCCTCATGCAGCTGCGTATTCGCAGGACATGTCTCCATTCACGGTCCCGCTGGACCTCAACAGCACCCTTTCAAGAAACGGAAGCACTTACTGTGAATCCGATCTTGAGTCACTTGAGCACTTTGATGAGCCTTTCACCACTCGCACTGCGGATAGGCACGCCGGGCTTGTTCATCCGACACCACGGAGCAACATGTTCGCGGCTAATAATTCCTTCCTTCTAGGCCCTGAGGAAAGTTCATCTCTTTCATCCTTTAGGGTCTCAGATGTCCCACAGGACGAGCAGGCCTTCTCCAATACTCAGTTCAATGTCCCACACCCAAACATCGCCAACTACCCTATGAACACACACATCAGTCCTCACCCACACAACACATATCTCACGCCATCCATCACCACTGCACGTACAAAGCTTGGGGCCTTCAGTGAAGATACTCAATGGGGTGTCTGCCAACCAGCCAACATGACGGATATCTGGTATCCTACTCGTGACCCCACCGGCTCATCAGCGGAGAGCGGCTGGAACAACCCCAACGGCTACAGTGCAGCTTGGCCCGTCTCCAATGCATATAATTTGCCAGACGATTGTAATGAGCCTGAGACCCAAGTCTACAGACCGACCCATGGACTACCCATGCCCCCCTTTGGGCCTACGCCTCTGGGTTCAGGCCCAACCGGGCCCACGAGCCACATTTCCCATTTGCCAGCTTCGGGGACCTACATAGCCTCCATTGAGGTACCTCAATATCAACCCACAATGCATCCTATGAACGTTCCAAGCGTGCATGACACAGACTTTGGATCCCCGGACCAGAAACTCGCAAGCAGCCTCAGTCCTTCCTTCTCCGCCTCAACCAACGAAGAGGGACGATCCCCTCAGCAGAGCGGAGAAGGCGGTGTTGAATCTGGCGGGCACTACAGCAACGAGCGGAACACATTCCTCATCGACTGCAAGCGCCGTGGGCTATCATACAAGGACATCAAGCGAGTGGGTGGGTTCAAGGAGGCGGAGTCTACACTGCGAGGCCGATATCGCACTCTCACCAAGTCTAAAGATCAGCGAGTGCGAAAGCCTAAATGGCAGGAGAAGGATGTGAGTTGAGAACAATTCTTGGGTTTACTAAGACACTGCCCGGACTAACATGATTCTGTTTAATAGATCCGACTTCTCTGCCAGGCCGTCATGATTCACGCCGAAAGCCCCGACACTTACGGCTCACTGACGAATGCTAGCATGAATATGAGTGAGCCACCCAAGGTATCATGGAAGAAGGTTGCTGAACATATCTGGGTGAATGGGGGATCTTATCATTTTGGCAATGCCACTTGCAAGAAGAAATGGTGTGAGATCCACCACATCACGCTTTGATTTGATCATTGGATCAATACCCTTGAGCCTAAGGGTATATTCGTTTCTTTCGTCTTCTTCCTTTTGATATGCAATGTACTTTGGCAAATGTGCCTGGATTTTGTCTTTTTTTGTGTTCAGCTGGTCTGAGTTTGTGGATTGTAGCGTTGTATCTGTATTATTTTCCTCTTGTTTTTCCTGAACATTGGAGTACAATGTTTATCTACATATAATTAAGACTACCGTACCATGTCCTAACTGATATTGGATGTGATAATTCATAGTTTCATTGGGAATCTTGCTCCGTGGGATCGTAAGTTTGATGTTTAAAAGTCTACGTGGAGAGATCTGAGAGAGAATACTGAAATTATTGTAGGGATATTCGAAGGTACAACGTTGGATATTCATGTTGGTCGACCACCAAACTTGATCTTCAGTTTGGGTGTAGACGTGACAGAGGGTTTGGGGGTTGCGTTTTGCGCAGGCGACGGTCTGGGAATGTGGATTTTGGGGAGATGGTTGGGAGCTGGAGTTCCTGGAGCCAGGCCAGTCTTGGACTGCTTGAACGTGATACGGGTTGATGAGGGTGCGTGCATGCCCTGATCCTCGCGCTTGCGCTTGGAAGACGGGCCCATGCGGGCTTTGGTAGATCGATAGAAACGTAATTTGCCATGACCTTGGTTCTGAACACTCCAATATCGAGGAAGTTTCATCCGCACAAGTTTAGAGGTGATTGGGTCGTACAGCGTACGGCAAAGGTCAGTGAGCTCGGACAGCTCCAAGAGGCCCATGAACGGTGAGTTACATGCTGCCCACATGCATTCCTTTATAGATGCATCGCCGGCAAGCTCTCGTTTCAGGGCTTCGATAGCACCAGGAATGGTTCGACGTCGTGCGATGTCGTCTCGGCGGATTTGGGTGGAGGATTCTTGTTCGATGATCAAACCATCGGTTTGGGAGGCTTCAGTTTCTTGAGGACGACCGAAAGCAATCTGCGCTAGGGTCTGACCTAGCAAACGTAAAGATTGGTGGCGTATCCAGGCTGAGGAATCGGCCGACAATGTGAACATGAGCCATCGAAGAAGCTCCGGGCTCTGGGTAATATCCAGGTCGACCAAGCATCGGAAGGCTTGCATTCGCAGGAGGTCATAGGTTCCTGCTCGCGTATATGGGACGAAACGCATCAAATCCAGGTCGATCATCTTAGCTTTCATTAATTGCGCCTGGCATTGAAGAGCAGCTCGGGAGTAAAGGTTCTGGAAAGAGCTAGACCATTCGTCCATGCGTCGATAGCGGTCAAACTCGGCGATCGCATCTTTGTCCAGTTGTTCCTCGGCCTGAACCTCGAGAACGCGTTCCATGTCAAAATGATCCAATTCCTCATCCGTGCGAGCCTCGCTTTTACCGAGCATCGCATGGCATAGGGACTTCATCAAGGATGCAACATAGAAATTGTCAGAGTACTCATTGTTCGAGTTGTCATTGAACTTGAGTTTATCGAAAAGGAATCGCTTCACCCTCAATGGGGTTTTGCCGCTGTTGTCGCGAACCTTAGAGATTGCCTCAGGGATGACTTGTTGGAGGATATACGCCGCCCTGTCAGAAAAGTCATTCGAGCGGGTCATGGGCGATCCCGGGAGACAGAAAAGCTCTTGGAATGCCTTCTCAAGATGATACAGTCCAATCCAATCAACCTCATCCTTAGCATGTTTTACCAAGGCACGCGCAGCTGTTGTACGAATGCCATGGAAGTATCGACTGTCCATGAGTGTGCGAACAAATATCGTGGAAATCAGAGGGTGCTCTCGTTGAGCAGTCATGTATTGTAACGACTGGGAATGTTAGCATCATGCTTCCCACATGGAAAGCGGCAATATAACGCACCTCGAGCTGGGCCACAACATCTCGATCTTGCTGAAGCTGCGAAAGATACATGTAGCCTGGCATACCGAGAGACAGTTTACAGATCCACTCAAAGTCTGCATCCATTCGGATCCACTCATAAGATTCCTGTCCCATTCGTTCCTCGTCCTCTTTCGTCCAGTCAGCCAAACGCCAAGCCTGTGTCTCTTCTTCAGTTTGAAGCACATCTCCCAGGCAGTAAAGTAGAACATCTTCTTGAACCTCAGCATCGCCGGAGGCGACGGCTCTTTCTCTTTGCTTTTTGTTGCGTTTGAGCCTTTTGTACTTCGTGTTGTATGGGATGTCGAACTTCGTCACCCCCTCCTTGATTTCAACGATGTGCTCATAAGGGGTTCCATCTGCTTCGTGAATCCGAAGGGTCATCGACCCTGTGAAGACCGGCTGAACTGCGCCCGCGTAGACGTGCCGGACCTCTTCCTTCACGTCACGCAAGAATGAATCCTTATCAAGATCGCGAGGGGCTTGTGGTTCAGATTGGACCTGTCTGATCATCATTTCAACAACGAGCTTCTTCTTGTTGAATCGTTGGGTCGCTTGGAATCGTGGACATCCCGCGCCGTATACCCATTGCTGGAAGAAGACGTCTAGTTTCGCGTGACCCAGTCGTTCACAGGTCTTTTGGAATAGGGACGAGGTGACAGCTCCATTGGGTATATCACCCATGCGAGAGTTCAGGAAAAGTCGAGAGATAATGCGAGACATTGTGGCCTTACCACTCGCCTTGGTCAGTCGGCGATCGAGGATGAACAAGACCAAAGGCGCTTTCAACGCAACAAAGCGATATTCGGAGGGGTCGACCTTGAGGATGTTACCCATGTCGTATATCGAGGGGCGCTCAAAATCCAAGTCGCAGACTTGATCAGACATCTGCTTCAGTCTGAAACGGTATTCGTTGTTTCCGCAAAGCTTTCTCATGAACGTATCCGTGATGTACCATGCCACACCAACTGTCACCCATGTATCCGAGGGCTCGGCAGGAATGATGTTAATTCCAGTCCACTGGCATGCCAGACCGTGGACCTGAGCCCGAGTAGACTCATACATGGGGTCGATCATCTCGGCTGGGAAGAGCAGATGGCTACTGCAAATTGACATGCACGCAGTGGGGAGGCTATCAGTTGGGAGATCGTCGACAAAACAAATCTTGTAACTGCCGAATGGATACGACCCATAAGACAAAGAGAAGAAGTCAATCGCCTGAGCCATGGGAAAACTGCTGTTTTGAACTTCATCGGCTCTACCTGGGAGGCAGAATGCGTGCAAAGGAATAGCATTTTGGCCGAGCTGTTCATCCTGGTCACTTTCGCGGAAGTCGGCCAGGTTGACATATTCGAATGGACCAATGGCGAACCCAATCTGCAGGGCTCCCAATGGTGAATATGACGCAAACGAAACTGTTTTGCGAGTATGATCTTTGGGATCGACAATGTCATCGGTTAAATCGCCGGAGCACACCACGGACATGTCCAGGCCCTCATCGTCCGCAGAAAGTTGGCGGCTTGGCGCTTTTGAGCGGGATGGGGTTGCTGCACCCGATGTATCTCGGTTCTTCCGGTCGAAAACATCGCCAAGAGAGCTAGGACATGTGATGGAGACCTCCCAGGTACATCGCGAGGACATATCATCCACGCATGGGAACAAGGGGCAGCCGATACCAGATTCGAGTGAGTTGGTGGTGTATGCATGTGGATACCGTTGATCCCCGTTTTCGACACCGACAAATTGTAAGCCGTCCCGAATAGTATCAATAACAAATTCAATGTTCACTGTCAAAGCCGTGAATCGCGGAAGGTTTGCCTCTGGCACCCTGGCACTCGCAGGGCCATCCACATTATCGACAGTAGATTGTAGCGCGATTTGATCTTGTGCTTCCGCTGAGGACGGATCCAGTTCTTCGATGCGGACGCCCTTGGGGATCGTGATGGGTAGGCTAGGTCTCGGGGGAGTTTGTAAGAGGTTGTGGATCTTTGGTGTCAAGCGTTCGTGATAGTGTACACCGTAGAGTTGGAGTGAATCGTATTGATCGGTGTATTTTGCGGTCGCAGGCTTGCCGTTCACGCTCAGATGCTTGACCTCGCCTTGTCGAAAATTCAACCAGATTGTCCCTAGATCTCTGCGGCGAGGGTGAATAGTGATTTCCGTGCTTCCTCTGAGGCTTTTGGAGGCTAGGTCAATCTCAAGTTCGACCTTCTGATGTCCCACGCTGAATCCCAGATCAAATGGGCGTGCCGCCGCACCAACGGGGAGTTCGACGACACCCGGCATCGTAATAAGATTGCTCAGTAACGAGGTGCGCGGCAAGCGCTTTGAAGACCATCCACCGTCATATCCAACCAGACTCGATATGTGATTGTAATGGCGAGGGCGGAAAGAAATCGAAGAGACGTTCGCGCGGCGCAGATTCGAGCTCCAGATGACTGTGAAATGCGAGATGGGCGATTACGCGATTATGGTGCAGGGTAGACTATCGCACGAGAGGTAGATGGTGGGTTAAGTGAAGACCGAAGTGAAGGCTCAATCAATGCGCTCGAGGGCACTATTAGCTGCGACAATGCGACTCTAAGTCCGAACAATGCACCAGCCTTGTGGTCTCAGTCAAGTTGAGCTTCCCTTGTTCGCGTTCCCAATGCGGAGCAAGGCACGTGATTTCGACCTGAAAATCCATCTGGAACAATTCCCACTTCTCCTTTTTCTCAACGTATTCTTGCGAGTCGACATTTGTGTTTAAAGGCATGATTTGATTTGGTGTGCATTTGTCCATTTTACCAATTTGTTTGTCCACCTCGCTATGAACTGAGGTGCTGGTGTTTACCCTCCGACTATACTCCAATTCCGCGCGTGACCAAACCCAATCTTCCAAAATGAGCGCAATCTACCGGATGGTCCAAGGTTGGTGCTATGAATACTGTTATCCATGTTTATTCCGAATCATCTGCTAATTCGAACGCTCAAACTCTACAGAGACCCAAGATTCCCTCTCCGACGATGCCCTCCTACCCCTTAAGTCCTACAAGTATTCGAGTGTCGACAAGTCGTTCATTTCTCGGTATATTCTGAAGCACTATGTATGACAACCTTGGAACCTTATACTGGTCATTTTCGGAATAAGCAAGTGACTTTTTTCTCTTTAGTGGAATGCCTTCGTCGAACTTGTGCCGATGTGGATGGCACCGAACATGGTGACCCTTCTTGGGTTCATGTGGATTGTGGCCAATATCTTCATCATTCAGATTTTCGTGCCAGATATGGTGGGACCCGTGAGTTCCTGTTCCTGTTCCTCACTCAGTGTTTTATTGGAAGTGGCGAGTTAACCAAATATTCCAGGGCCCCGCTTGGATCTACTACAGCTTCGCTCTTGGCATGTGGATGTGAGTGGCCGGCTACCCCTCCAGTTATATGATTCCGACTCACGAAATAGGTACTCTACCCTCGACAATGTGGACGGTAAACAGGCGCGCCGAACTGGGACGTCCAGCGGACTCGGGGAACTTTTTGAGTTTGTACCGCACTCCGAAAAGCCATGGATGGATCACTAATCAGGCACAGTCACGGTATCGACTCTTTGAACTGCACCCTGGCCAGTCTGCTGTCGACAGCCGCAATGGGCTTTGGAGCCTCGCAACTTGGCGCATGGACCGCAATCGTGCCTTGCCTGGCCATGTATTTCTCGACATGGGAGACTTTCCACACCCACACACTCTACCTCGGCTACTTCAACGGCCCGACTGAGGGCCTCCTCATCGCCTGTGCAACTATGATTGCCTCCGGAATCTGGGGCCCTGGAATGTGGTCTCAGCCCATTGTTGGGTTCCTTAACCTCCCCCAGATTTTTGGCAACAGCTCCGTCAAGGACCTCTGGGTCCCAATTCTGCTGGGTGGCTTTTTCCTCGGACATCTCCCCGGATGTGTCATGAATGTAGCTGAGGCCCGCAAGAAGCAGGGCCTGGCCTTCACCCCTTTGCTTAAGGAGTGGGTGCCTATGATCGTCTTCACCATCTCCAACATTGCTTGGCTGTTCTCGCCATACTCGACTATTCTTTCCGGGAACCACCTCATTTTGTTCTGCTGGGTCATAGCATTCGTCTTCGGACGCATGACCACCATGATCATCTTGGCCCATCTTCTTAGACAGCCCTTCCCCCTCTGGACTATTATGCAGGCTCCTCTCATCGCTGGCGCGGTCCTCATCAACTTGCCCATGATCGGCTTCCCGGTCATTGCCCCATGGCTGGAACTGCTGTATCTCTGGCTGTACTTCTTTTTCGCTCTGGTTATCTACATGCACTGGGCAGTCCTCGTCATCAACCGCATCACCACTTTCCTCGGCATCAACTGCCTTACTATCCGAAAGGATAAGGCTGCTGCCAGAGACAGAGCCTATCGCAACCTCGGTGAATCGTCCCACCTAGATCAGTCACACGCTTCGACTGACACATCCAAGACACATTAACTTAGTATGCGCCACGCCATATATGGAAAAGTCGACGATCGACACTAGTTCAATTCGGTAGTTCCCGGTTGGAGTTGCCACAAAAGCGCCCTGAGCGGTGCATTATCTAAATGTTCAACCTCATTGTAATTATGAACATGTCCATTCTCTACATGTGTTACTATCTTGATCTGATGGAAGATATAACAAATCCCAGAGGGGTGGATTCTGATGAACCCCAGGCATGGAAATTGTACCCTGCTACCCTGCACATCTGTACTTATGGGACTATTAATATTTGTGAATAGATAAAAATGAATCAAAATCAAGCCCAAGTTGATTAATCTTGAGAGAAGTCACAGTACGTGAAAGTAGGAAAGTACAAAGCCAAAACAATCGACGCTGGCAAAAACACCGAATCCACAAAAGCACCGCGAACAAAAAGGCTCAAATCAAGTTCGTTCCGACTTTTCATTTCTTCTCACCCAGTCCAAGAGCATCAGTCAAACTCCCCAGACCAAGTCCATTAATCACCTTGTCCAATCCAAGACTGCCAAGCAGACCATTCAACAATCCACCAAGACCAAGACCATCAAGCAGACGACCAACGAGTCCAAGCACACCATTAAGCAACAAGCCAACGGCAGCGATGATCTGGAACAATGGCTCAGAGAGCAGAGCCCAGAAGGGGCTAAGCTTCTTCTTAGCGTGAGGCATATCAGCGATGCGTTTCTTGCCGTTGTCAATAGTCTTAATGACCGTCTCTGTGAGCTCTTTGATCATGTCGGCAAGCTGGTACTCCTCGGGGGTGGCATCGCGGGAAGCAGCGCGCGCCTTGGCGGTCGCGGCAATGCGTCCGTCGGGGTCGAGTGCACGGATGGCTCCGTTGCACTCTTGCAGAATGCGGCCGCCTTCTTCGAGGAGCGGCTTGATGGTTTGAACAAGCTTCTCCTCGTCGAGTTCGTCCTTCGGGGTGCGGTCGGCTTTCTCACAGGCCTGAATGTTGTGTTAGTACTATTGCTATATATCGGTTTAGAACTTACCTCCGCGATCTGCCTGCAAACAGGCTTGACCTGATCAAGAGTCTGGCGGAGGATGGAGATCATCTTCTGCGCGAGCTGGCGGTCGGATTCAGCCTTCGCCGCATCCTCCTGCTCCTCGAGCGTGGGTCCCTCCTCTTCCTCCTCCTCGGGCTCCGGCTCGGGGATGTTCTCAAGCAAGGTGCATTCGCCAACCTTGTTGCCGTCATTGTCAACAACATAGCCGTTATCGTCGACAGTTTTGCCGACCAGCGTGGCAAGATTACCCCAAGTCAGCTTGCCAATAAGGTTGCCATCCGCATCGCGAACTTCGCCCTCCTTCGTGATCTTGCGCCCATACATGGGGCTGACATTACGTTTCTTCTCCTCAGGCTCCCTGCGCTCGGCCTTGCCGATCGTATTGCCGTTCTTATCAAGGACATCACCGTCCTCGTCAACCTTGCGGCCGAAAAGTCGCTTGGTGTCGCCTTCAATCAGACGTCCGATGATCTTCTCGCCGTCCTGCACGACTCCTTCCTTGCCGATGACAGCGTTGTCGAATCCGTAGAATGGACCTTCGGCCCTATCCTGCTCGGCCGCAGGGTTGAGCTCGGCACGCCCGACAATCTTGCCATTGTCGCCCCAGATCTGGCCCTTGCCGTCGACCTTGCATCCAGCGAGGCGCTCGTCACCTTCAACAATGCGGCCGACCACTGCCCCAGTGGCGGGGTCAACAACGTTTCCAGCCTTGTTGAGAACCTTTCCCTCGAGGATAGACAAGTCCTCCTCCGCAGGGGGCTCCTCCTGTGGAGGCTCGTAAGGCTCAGCACGACCCTTAACGTTGCCGTACTTATCGGTGATCTCGCCATCCTCGTCGACAGCGCGACCACGCAGCTTCTTGGGGTCACCTTCGATAAGCTTACCAACAATGGATCCCTCATCATCCTCAACGAATCCATCTTTGGTAACAAGGAGGCTCTCCATACCAGCGAAGGGACCCTCGGCATTTCTCTCGATCTCATCCTCGGGAATGAGCTCGACACGGCCAACGACCTTCTTCCCATCGTAGATCTCGCCGTCCTCGATCTTCTTACCGGTAAGCACCTTAGGATTCCCCTCAACAACCCGGGCGATTGGGTACCCCTCAGGTCCGATGACATACCCAGCCTTGTTGCAGGAGAGGCCGTTAACGGCAGAGAAATCATCACTGGCCTCTTCCTCCTCTGGTTCGAGGCGCTCAGCACGCCCAATAACGTTACCCTTGCGGTCGAGGATTTCGCCATCCTCATCAACGCCACGTCCGCTCAGTTTCTTCGCATCGCCTTCGATCAGGCGGCCAATGCGGTTCGAGTTCTTGTCTTCGACAAACCCGCCTTCGCCGACAACGAGGCCTTCCAGACCGGAGAAGGGGCCTTCTTCTCCTTCATCCTCTTCGATCAGGAGTGCCTTGGCTTGGCCGATCACATTGCCGCGGTTGTCCCAAAACTGACCCTTGTCGTCGAGCGTTGCGCCGAGCTTAGACAATTTCTTTGGGTCGCCTTTGTTCAATTTGCCAACGGGCCTGCCCGTGGCTTTCTCTATAATGTAGCCGAACTTGTTGCAGAACTTGCCTTCGAGGGTTTCGAGACCGGGAATCCGTTGCCGAACATCCTCGGCGGTCTCGGCGGTCTGCTTGGCCTCTTTGGCGGCATCTTCAGTAGTTCTTTTGGCACCTTCTATCTTCTCATCAAAGGCATCGGTGACGTCTTCACCTGCGTGTTCGGCGCTGTCCTTCGCGTCTTCGAGAGTGTCTTCGAGGTCAACCTTGCCATCTTCGGCGGTGTCCTTAGCAGCGTCGACTGCGCCGGCGTTGGAGGTGGCATCTTCGGCAGTAGACATACCCTTGTCGACATTCCCTTCGACATCGGAAACATCCTCATGAGGCTCATCAGTCACGCCAACAACAGCGCTCTTGCCCTGATCGGCGGAGAGATTATTCTGAGCATCTTCGTACTGATCCTCAAGATCGTCCTTGGCGCTACCGACCTTCTCAGGGGCATCACCAGTAGCACCTTCAATGGCCTTCTTCTGCTCCTCAATAGGGATCAAATCAACACGGCCAATAGCATCGCCATCGTCATCAACGATCTCACCATCGTCATTGAGTGTATACCCAATAAGGTCTTCAGGGTCACCCTCAACGATCCGGCCAACAATCTGACCAGCAGCGTTCTTGATAACACCGCCACCAGACACAGGCAGCCCTTCAAGCTGCGCGATATCCGTAACAAGATTCTCCGGATCAACCTCTCCAACGCTCTCCCGAGCCTCTTCGCCGGCATTCTTAGCCTGGTCTGGGACCTCGTGGAGGATATCAACGCGACCAATCAAATCGCCCTCCTCGTCGAGAATCTCCCCGTCATCTCCAACAGTCTGCCCGACGAGACCCTCCGCATCACCCTCGACAATCTTGCCAATGAGAGCGCCGTCCTGTCCGAGGATATTCCCGCCCTCGGCGACGTTAAGGCCCTTCAATGTTGACAGATCGAACGGCACAGGCAGGGTATCGGTGGCAGTCTGGGTAGCATGTCTGCCACTATTCTGGACACTCTCGGGACCTTGCTGGGCTGTCTCCTTCATCTTGCCGGCGAGGTCCTTAGCCTTACCTGCCCCGCCGGAGGCGCGGCCAAGGGGGGCTGCAGAGCCGGAGGCGGAAGGCACCTGGGAGGCAGCATCGTCGGGTGAGGATATGGGGCGGCGTTGTTCGGTGCGCTTCTTCGACTTCGGGGAGGGGGCCTCTAGAATGGACGGCCCTTCGATGTCATCGTCGAGTGTTTCTGGGGCTTTCTGGGAGAGTTTCCGTGGTGTGGTTGTCATTTTCGCGTCTTTAGGGCTTGCGGTGGTGGTGCTGGGTTTACTGGCTGCGCTAGAGCCGGATGCTTTGCGGGCTTTGGCGGGAGTTCCGGCCTTGGAGCCTAGCTTGGGGGGTGCTTTGCTCATTGCGGGGGAGGACATGGTATTTCGTTCGGAAGTTGGGGGTTTGAGATAGGTGGGTGTATTGTTGATATAACGAATCAGAACCCAGTCGGATAATTGCAAATCGAACGCAATGCTTGTGTCCGTTAAGAGGCGTGAGGTATGCTTCGTAAAACCGTAGGGGGTGGAATGATAATATAAACCCCGGGAAGAGGGTATAGTTCGGGAGTAGTAGTTCCTAGAATAACCAAGGAAGACGTTGAGGAACGGGTTCAGGTTTTTATATAAAGAGTTCAGTGATTCTGATATCATCGAATGAGTCCACCATCATAGCCGTCTATATAGGCAGTAACCAGACATTATACCTGCAGAGCCTACTGCGTCATGGCCTGTTGATATCATAACGGTTTTTTGCTAGTATCATTTTTGCATGAAATCCTTGTTCGGGGGATCGTCATAGAATTAATCTATACAATGTACGACTAGACCGTTGTAGGGCCGTTAGTAGCAACATCGGCGTCATGGAGTGGGGCGATTAGATGACCTGCCAAGTGGACATTTGTCTGGGAAACGGTTGATACATACAGTCCTGTAGGGTTGGCGCGCGAATCAGCGGGCCGGGTCTGGGATATTGAGGGGAGTGTGGCTAAATCGGGGTGTTGAAGGAGAGTGGAGCTCTGTGCTTCTTGACATCGAGCGTAGTTTAAGCTGTACAACTCGGAGACACCGACATTCTACAATGGCACGCGCCTATTGCTCGAAATACTGATGTCTGATTTGTTGCACGATCGATGGCATCTTCTGCGATCAGCACTGTGTATTCTATTGAATTGGTCTAGGTTATGTTCCTGGCCTAAAGTCTAGGCTATCCGGACAATTAAAATACAAACAGCAACATGATTGCTCCAAGGTCAAGATATTTCTATGGATGCTCCCCGAAGCCACGCTATCGCAAACGTGGGACAATATGAAAAAATCACAGATCTATCAGATACCACATACGGTGTCAAGTATAACATTCGCCTCCACTATCTGTCACTTCCTATCACTGTGTTTTAGAAAAAGAATCGAAAAGCTCCGGTTCGCCAGCTGCACTCCGAATCATCGTTACATCAGAATCATATGACAGTCTTGAATATAGCAACGACCCACGCACTCAACGTTTCTTCGCATGAACGTCTAATATACAATATAGGAATCATTTACCTGCGATGGACATCTTGTTCAATGACGATTTCAGGAACCTCCTACGGTATTTGTGCGAGTATTCCTAAGTCGTATATTCTATTCTGAAGCCAGAGACAACAGTAATAACAAGGAGAATCAGCTCATGGTCGGGGTAGGTCCCTGTCAGATGTATGAGCGTAGAGGGAGGTATGAGATCATTTTAATCTATTTGGGTGGAGAGTTCAGCCACACAAGTCGCTGGCTGAGATCATCGTCCAAATTCAGGGAATATTGTGTTAACTTTTCATATTAAATCGCTGGACCTAAAATTCTCGCTACCATATATGCGTCCTTGGATATGTAGTATATTGTAGGTCGTGCAACGGCTACACGGTGGAAATTCTCCGGTTATCAACTTCCGAAATCAAGATTTCCCTCCGCTACATCTTGGCGTCTGTGCACTTTTCTTTTCTGGATCGATCGGCTCTATATTGTATGATGATATTGCATTAGGATCATGTAGTATAGTACGCACCTGGATATATACATTGCATGACATAGGATGGTCTTGTCCAAACCTGGCACCTTTACCTTCAATTTTGCCTAGAGGGATGTAACGGATAAAGATCCTTACAAAGAGAATACCATGCCAGGCAGTCTTGGCAGATCGACCCCACGTCGTGGCCGATCCGAGAGGGGTTCATCACATGATATGCATGTCGACATTGGAAGAGATAGATCCCTTATAGTCTGGGACCCCCCAGGGTTCCTTACCAAGACTGGCAAGAATTAGTCTTGGCACTCCAGGCAATACATCGTGTTCTCCTCCAAGCCATAGTATCTTACCCGGTTGACAGGCCATACACCTGGAAACAGTATACCTTTCCAAAGAACCTCCGTAAGGAAATGGTGAAACTAACTTCGATCTGTCGTATATTTCATGCCCCTAGTGAGCTTGCACTAGGCAGCAGTCCTTGCTAAGCTATTAGGACGGTAGATTTATACCTTCTCGTGGTATCCGGTGTTAATCCCCGTTAGGGCGACCAAAATACATCCGCCCTGGTTATGCGGGTGCGGCCCGTCGCGGGGTCCGGACCGCACAAGCACACCTAAATTAGGGGATACGGATATGAAAACCATCAGACTTCTTTTTACCCGACTCGCAGTTGTGCCTAGAAGCTGGTCTTGCTTTACTAGTGGAACTGGTGTCGCCCTAAAAAGAAGATAGGACACCCTTAAGCTTGCATACGGTCTATGATCGTATCATACGAGATGCGGCAAGGCGGCAGCGAACCGGTGACATAGGTAGTCAAGCCGACTTTAGACAGACCTCGTTTAAGCCTGGAAGACATCGTGCACTACAGACCTCGTTAAGGCTCAGCTACTTTAACCTTACGTGTATCGAGTATACTAATATAAATAACTACGTAGGTAAAAGTGCAGCCGACGATATAAATCTGCGCGCCAGAGCCACGAACTGGGCCTGTCCCGCGGATAGATTGGTGCCTCCGGCCAAGATGTGCTGGTCCAGCACCGATGGGCGGTCGACGTCGTTGAATCCAGCCTCGTGCGGGTGCCATCCCACTGCCGTTAAAGTCTCGAGCATGTCCGCGTCTTTGCTGTGCCGTGAGGGATCCAAATTCTGGCGCAGTGTCCCTTCGAAGAGCACAGTATCTTGGGCGAGCACATGCACGGCGCGTCTACGCTGGTGCAGCGAGACCGCTGCCAGATCGGCGTCATCGATCCAAATAGTACCTGTTGTGAGAGGCACAAGGCCTAGCAGGGCCGCAATCATAGTCGATTTGCCGGATCCTGGACGATGCGCAGATGTTGGTGCATCCTTTCAGAAATCAATGGGAGAGAAATACCAATAGGGGATCAATGAACGCACCGCTTCGGCCCACGATGCAGCGGCAGGGACGGCGAGGTCAAAGTCAACGAGAGACGGCTGCGAAGCTTGAGCATACGTGACGCTGACCTCCGAGAACACCACGCTGCCGCGCTCCGGCCAGGAGGGTGCGATTCCCTGACATCTGGATGAATGATCGGTCTCCGGGGTAGGCAGCGTCAAGTACTGATTGAGGCGCTCCATGGAGTTCATCTCAACGTCCAGGTTAATCAGGGACCACAGAAAGGCGTCGAGATGTTTTGCCAGTGTGATGCTTAGGCTCAGGGTCAAACCGGCCTGCATGGCGTTAAGCAGTCCTAGACCGCATAGTCCACAGGTCGCGCCCAGCAACAAGACAGACACGACTTCCACCCGCACCGTCACCCACGTCTCAAGAGCGTAGCGGACGCTATGCCTGCCATGGCTTTGGACAGGACCGCGCGATGCCGCTCTTCAAAGAACTCGGTGGCGGAGTACGCTTGGATCGAGGTCCGCGCACCCATAGCCTCGTTAATCAATACGTGGCAAGGTGGATCGCGGGTTTGGTCGGGCTTTTCCCCGCCTGTGAACCAGTCCAGATGAAGTAAGACATACATTCGATAGCAATGCTACTCCGTAGTATCCAGTCGTTTATGAGTTTGTATCAAGGGTCTTTCATGAATCCAGGGATTACCATGATAGCCTGTGCAAGGACTGATCACACGCCAACTGATGTAACCCTAGAAGGCGACACTAGCCGGATGATCAGTATAGATAAAATGTTTGAATTGGTGGAGAACTGAATGGTGTGTGGGTGCCCTTTCATCCGCGGAAGGACGTGCGCCGGGAATCGTCGAACTTGCTATTGATGGAATAGCCGAGCTTCTCAATATTGGTCTCGATAGATAGCTGTGGTTTGTAACCACTAGACGTTGACGCACAATGTTCTGACATTATGCCATATGCAACGTAGGTGGGATGATCAATGTGAAACATGTGCACCGTTGAAAGACACGTCGGAAGCCAGAGCCGATGTAAGGAGATGGGGTTGACAATTATGAAGCACAATAGTTGCATACTATATCTCCTGCTACTACGGGTTTAGCGCATTTTTGCCCCTACCGCTTTCAAATTTGATACCTTGATAAGCCAGGGAATCATACCTACATATGTAGGTATCAATCCTCCACCTATCTCTAAAATGCCAGTCAGTCTAAGTCAGCGGCATTGACGAAATTTGCTTTGAATGGAGTATTGATACCTATTTTTACTCCAGACGATTTTGCCAAAATAGACAAAATATAAAGCATATTTCCCGGTCTAATCTTCCTATGAAATATTACTATGTAGACAGAAAATGGATGGCGTGTAGGGAACTGGTCAAGTTTAGTTTGTGCTGAGCTGGATCCTAAGGCTTCAATCACCTCAATTTTAACCTTCATCAGACGACGGCCCATGTGGGCTAGAGTGCATATTAATTCATTTAGTTAGTTAACCCTGCATGTCAGCCCTGACTACTGTCTGACCTTTATCATTCTATCCAACCGCGACATGCCCGAGAATCCAATGCGCTTGCTTCACGAATGATGTTTTTCATTTATTCATTTCATTTAGTATATTTAATCAGACTAGTGTGCTCAATATCTTCTCAGAAACCTTTCCAACAATTTTACCCCATTCGCGTAGGGAATTTAACGCCGGGGTCCAGTTCGGGCCCAAGTGGATCTCAAGCGACCCTTCAGCGATCCTTTCTTCGGGGAGTTTGGCTCGAGTTGTCATTTTGGCCCCCAACTGTTGGAATTCTGCTTACTGTTTAGGAATATGATCATCACAATATACGTTCCCAGGATCCCAAGAGTCCGGGGGCCTTAGTTGACCCCACTCGGGTTCTTCACCTGTTGTTCTTCAGATGAACCCTCCTCTTTTCAGTTTTTTTTCCTTATCTCTTTCTTTGTGTAGCAAAGAATACCTTGTAGGGATACTTGTCAGAAATGCATACCCAAATAATGCCGTCGAAGCGATCTGGATTCTGCCAGCTTAGTGACAGTCCATACCTACTTAGGTAGTGGAATGCTCAACATATATCCATGGATAGGTTTGCAGCCTATATCCTATCAATTAGGCAAGTGGAACGCTAGGAGAAGATGCTACCAACGACTATTATTAGAAACTAATTCATAGTAAATATACGAAGGGACTGAGGTGAGATGAAGATATATTACTTTCCTTTAGAATACAGATACATCAGGCAGTAATAATACAAAGTTCCTCTAGGTTCCTAACACTCATCATCAGAGAAGGGATCAGACCCAAAGGGACAGATGCGAGCATCCTATGATGCTATCCGCGTTAGGTGACCACAAAGAGTATCGCGGGACGTTAGCCAATAACGATTTGATTGATTGATCGCCTATAGTGTTCACGTAGCAGCAAATCATAGTGCACTAGGTATCTTTACACTTATAATAGATCTATCTACGTATGATAATTGTTGAGTCTACCAACCGAGAGGCATAGAAAGGGGAGAAAGGGGGAAGCGATAGAACGGGCCTTCAATGACACCTATTGACTCCGGCGACCAATCAAGAAATCCAGATTCATTAGCTCGTAGGGCGAAGAAGGGAAAAGGGGCATCGAAAAATACAGCGAAAAGGACATTGAAAAAGAGATCAAAAAGAAGAGATCAAAAAGAAGAGATCAAAAAGGACATGCAAGATGAGCTGATGAGCTATGAAGGTATATCAACAAGACATTTAGCAAGGAACACGGCGAACGGATCTGTCGTGAAGTTGATTAAGCCATACGATGGTGACCTACAAACGTATCTACGAATCTACATACACTAGGGAGATTTCTCGGGGAAGCTTATCGGATCTTTCACGTAGCTACGGACCGGAAGATCCAGCCGATGTTTCCCGGAGCCAGCTTTCTTACTATACAACGAAATTGAAAGTCGGAAAAGGACAAATGTGCCATTGAAGTATTCGACTTTGGTCCCAAGATCTGTGAGACTGCTTGTGTTCCAGAAGGTCTCGCTGGAAGAGCAGGAGCCTTTCCCATGTCCTTCTTCCCCGAGGTCCCTCGTGCCGGACTTTGTGGCTGGCCCCCGTTCAACCAATCATATTCTGGGATCAGCCAATCCGGGAGACTGCTCTCCTCGGTTCTGTGGGCATGTAGAACGGTGGAAGTGTGCGATTGGCAATTGGGAGGACACAAAGCGGATCATCTAGAGAAGAGAATATGGTGTAACTAGCAAGTTGTTGCCAGTCGATGACGGCGCGAAGGCCGCTTCGTAGCCTGGGTCTTTCCTCCAAAGTTGTAGATGCTGGTCTTGGTCGAAGTTGAGCTCCGATTAGTTGGGCACAAAATCCGGACTTGGCTGACTGGGCCAAAGTTAGATGGAAGGAATTCAAAATGTGAAGAGGCATCATATTTCCTGAAATCTATAATAACACTGGTTTTGGAGTAATCATTTTCCCTCAAGGGAGCGCTGTCTGGGTACACTGTTGTCCTGTTGGAAGTCGTATTTCCACTGGGCAAGGACGTAGGATAGGCAACAAACACTGAAACCTTCCAAGGTTCCAAACCTCTTGGTCGTCGCGTCGTGATTGCCTATTTGACAAACCGGTGGCTGCCTTGCTTAATAGGCATCCAATCCTTCCAACCTTGGAACTCTTTCAATCACTCTCAACTGGGTTATACTCCTTCTCCAATCGGGCAAGCAAAGTCAGCAGCACTTCCTTTGCATCTTCCTTGATGACCGTAACAAAGTCCTTGATTATGACCGACGCGAAGATCACTACACTTCCAAGTCTGGCGGAAACTGGAGACCTTCAATACTCGTCGAGCCAATCATCTCTGTGCTTGGGTGCTTGGTGTGGAATATTCAAGTACTTCAACGTCGAAGCCCATCCATGGATCTTACATGCAGTATTTCTCTTCACGCTATCCTCCAAGTGCCCCTCTCTTTGATGTGCTAACCAGCCAGCCAACACCTACCTACGAACGGGCTCAAGAACATGCCCCGCTCTCTCGACGGTCATAATCTGTCTCTCGGTACATCTCTTTCGTCGTACACCTTCCTCCATGCCTCACCACACCTTTTTGTCGCTACCTCCTTGTCAACACATTCGTTAACAACTTGCTTTTTAACAGGACTAGCCCGCTTTATACGCCTAACATATGTTCTTCGGAATCTTTACAACAAGACCCGCAAGTCTCGGTACCTTCTTCCCTACCTTGACCCTACCCATGCAGTTAGTACCTCACTGTTCAACGTACAGCACAAGCGACTTTCAGCCAATAGTGTCCGGCCACCTACACCACTTACAACCAATGCTGTCACCAGCTAACTTCTTCGTTACAACAACCCTTTCAACAACGAACGTTCAACGACCGACTTGCGACAAACGGGTTCATATTTTGTTGGGGGACTTAGATCTACGGTTTCATGTTCGTGGGGTTGTCTACGTCTATAGTCTACCTAGGTTGAACTCAGCTTCTCCAACTACTCAGCAATGTCAATCTCAATTCCACCATGCACTTCGACGTCTCCGTAGACCTCTCCATTGCTGTTAATCTACAGTTTGCAATTATGCATTTCCATCCTTATACCTACAACAATCAGAAAGAAAAGAGGTAGCAGTAAAGCACAGCTATGAAAAGGCAACTAAGAAAGGACACTTGGAAAGACAACTCAAAAGAGACATCGAAAGGCACCTCGAAAGACACCGCGAAAGGTATTCCATGTTTGGGTGATCTTATTTACATCTTAAGGCTCGAATGAAGCATTAATGGCAACACTTGTCCCGGATTCTGAAGTACTAAATGGTGGCCATGAGAAAGATCCTCAAGGCAATACAGGAGAATCTCTCAACTTCTTGCCCTCTCTGATATCGGGCTAAAAGGCACACTTTAGCCAAACCCACGGACCGGATTTCGGAAAAGCGTAAACACAAAAAATTCCCGTGGCCGAGAAACGACTGAGATGTGCGGTTAGAATTGGAGAGGATGCGAGACACATAATCCAGACAGATTTATTCAGTTAGCGAATCGTTTGACAAGAGAAAGAGTTGGATCTCATCAATTGCCGAAGATAGCCCTGCATTTGATGATTTCGCTGAGGTCGCTTCGCAAGTTTGGCCTGATCTTCAACATGGCTGTCAAAGCACTTTGAAGTTTCTGGTTGTTGTCGAAATTGAGCTCCGGCGTGCCAGGGACACCGTAAGGTAGAAGGCTGATCACGTCTTGGATGTCAACTGCTTGCTTGGCACCATGGCGCTGGTAGTGTGACAGTATCTTCTCCCGAATGGTCCATTCAGTACTGAAAAGCTTGACAGGGTATCCGTTGATAGTCTTTGTCGCTCGTGTGGCTGTTTCAAGATCATATTGAGGTCGGTGCGGCCAGGCGACCTGATCGAATACCTCGAGCTCCACAAGACGCTCCCCGCCTCCAGGCAATCGGAGTTTGTATCCTGGGATGACGTGTCCAAACTGACTCACTGGGCCAAAGTCAGACGGAAATGAAGTCAAGAGCTTCCTTGTAAGGAGCTCCGCTGTGATCGATCGATGGTCGACATGGATCACCAGGTCGACGTCCTCCGTTGCTCGCAGGGGACTAGGTGCCATGATACACACAGCCGCACCTCCCATGACAGCATAATCAACTTGCAAAGAGTCAAGCCTTTGGGCGACGGTCGAAACGACTTCCTCTAACTCTGCTTGCAGCAGCAAAGGCATATTGAAACCTTTCTCTGATATTCTCAGTTAGTGATAAGGATGAGGGGAATGCGGTTCTTCTTACCTTCACTTCTGTGCGAATGAAAACGAATCGTTGGAGGGAATGCAGAGAATAGATGATGAGATCACGGTTGGCGCAAGGAGAACAAAGATGTAGAAATTGGGAGGGAGTCGGTCATTAAATATTAGAGTGCTGGTCAACACGAGGTAAGATTCTCTCTATTTTGAGAGCTAGCAAACACAATGCGCTTCTCAGAAAAATCAGGCTGTCTCGTTGGAAACTTTCCGGTATTTTCTGTTCGGCGGCTACTACAAATACATACCCAGTGACAGCCCATCATCCACCAGTTTAAGCGCTTCCTCCATGATCGCCCTGGTTGCCAATGAATTAAAGATCCCTGCTTGCCTTTTGTGTGAGCACTAAAAGTGGACCATGGCAACGATTAAGCCCTATTGACAATTTCATGTCAACTACGATAGTACTACGACCCGTGATTTGAAAGGTCCAAAGTATATGGCCCACATGGTATATAGAAGTTCGGGTTAACTGCGTGTTATAAGTGGTGACGTCGACCGGGATGAACCCGGACGACAACCAATTAATGGATTGGATGAACGGCGTATTTGACATGGCAAAATAGATGTGCCTTGGGTAGTTGGGTTTCTCAGGCCCGGAATAGGCTTGCTAGAGGTGGCTTCTGCAGGCCTGAGTTGGTCACCATTGCGAAGGAGCCATAGCCATGGAGATAATATCTACTAGTGTTATGGACCTCGGGATATTACTAGTATCGTGGGGCAGCTCCGCTTTGATAAAAGGTAAACGGGCACTAGACACGGCGCTAAGTCGCAAATGAGTGAACTTCACAAGTCTAACGCTGAGTGGAAATCTATTTGCTGAACCTTCGAGTTTCACGACGAGGCGATTGTTGTTAACAAGGGACCATGTAATTGAGATTTATCAGACTCGGTAGTGAACTTATGCCTGGTATTGTGATTTCAGTTTGACTCCTACATATGTAGATAGTATTGGGTATAATCCGGCAATATGCCCATCTAAATTCGGAGAAGGGACTCCCGTGCATGTGTCTTTGGAGAATTGATATTCAGGACAAGAGGCAACTTCGGCCTGGCCCATTTTTCCCATACAGGAAATTCAATACATCAACACAATCTGGTTATTGGCCGACTTTTTGTGGACGTTTTTAAAAGGAGAATGTCCGGTCCTGGGGAATTCATTGAGCCAACGGGTTGCCCCTCATATCTACGGGCATTTCTCTCCCGGAACCCAGTCGCTTTGAGACACGTCTATCCCAAGGGCCAAACTCCTCCTCGTGTATTCGACCATAGTTCACACTGAACCATTTCACTGCACGCTCATCCAGACAGCCATCAAGAATATCATTGTTGACATCAAGGTATGACACCATCATAGCAACCCAGGTATTTAATGACTCGCCCCAAACCGATGTAGGAGTAGTTTCATCATCCTCATCGCTGAGAACACCCTTGGCCAGACTCTCAACCAACGTGTGTTCAAGGGGATGAAATATATTGCCGTAAATATCGTAATTCTTCGTAGGAATAGTGGCCTCCAAGTCGCTAGCAACGTCCTGTATCGGAAGATTTGCAAAGGAATTTGGCAGCAAAGTCAACTTGAGACGACCAGCTAGGTGGTGGTCGGTCGGATAGTCGAACGTTGTAGTTGACTTATCCAGACGTTCATACTGCTTGTTCACCTTTCTCATAACCCTATCCGGATCTGGGAGCCTTGCCAATAACTCGGGGGCAGGCCTATGGTTAGGGACTACTGCGCTGAATGCCGAATCCTTCAGCTTCTGACATGCTCTCTGATAATCCTCATCGCGGACAGCGACCATAGCAGTCTATAAGGTATAATCAGTAGGTGCCACAATGTCAATCAGTGACAACACAACTTACACCTATCACAATAGGGACGCCCAAGTAGTTCATTGCAAGCGGTCCCCATGGAAAGATAGCCAGTGGTGCAAGGAACTGGCCTACTTCCGAAGTTATCGCGTCAGGTTGGGTTTCTCGTGGGCGTCGAATCATTTTCGCTTTGGTTGATAGGAAGAAATCGGTCTTGTTGTCGGATTTGGGGTGATGTGAAAGACGAGCGAAGTAAAACAAAGTGTGTGGGGTTGAATGATCATCAGACACGTGATCTGGAATGTTGCCGCTCAAGTGGGTCCTGGGTGTGGGGGTAGACTCTCTGGGGACACCAAGCAAGAAGACAGAGAGAGCAATACAACTGTGTTGACTATCTAAGACTGGGGAAAAGAAGAGGAGGGAAGAAACGGAACAAGCTGTGTAATATACGGACAGGATTACATGACTACAAATTCCAACAAACTCCCAGCATGCGCGATTGACCCATTCATCTAACCACCTCTTCTACTTAAAAGCGATAGAAATCCCGCGTTCTATTTGGAATCCCAAGGAACCTTGATGAAAGCCCCTCCACTCTTGGCAAATCCTGAGATCTTAGAGATATCAACCCCTTTATTGCTCAATTCCCATAGTTTTGGGGCCTCTTGACATTCCCGGAAGTGTTCTTTGAATTCCTCATAGGAGTATACTTTGTCTCGCAGAATCAGGAAATTTATCGATGAGGAGAAGCTGGGAGACCTCTCAAGGCAACCTGGCAACCACTGCAGCATATTCCATTCTGAACTACGCCGCTTTCAGCATCGAGATAGGGTAATGAGGTAGTCACCATATAACCTAGACCTGGTTTCCCCTGTTGGCCTCGATACTGCCATGGTGTTACCTCCCTTGCATGCGGGTAATCTGCTAACGAAGTCCGTCGCCATGATTTGCATTCTTTTCTTTTGCTCGACCCCGTCGATTGAATATGTTCCAGGCAATGACGTCACTGTACGCACCAAGCTGTATAGGTGCCTCTGTCTCCACATGTAGTGTCTTGTAAGGGTAAAAGCCGGTAAGACAGCGGGAAGATTATTTTCTTTTAGGCAAGAGAAACAACACCTCGTAAATGACGGAAGAAAAATAAACCCACCGATGGAGCGACAGCGTCGATGCTGTTATCTGTTCCGGGTCAACTACGGAAGACAATACATATGTAGAATTCACAATCCACACTACTGTAAACAACTATAATCCACTTGATGATGAGAGAGAAAAGGACACATTGCGTAGACCTGTCCATCGGAGTGGGTCCGGGTGATCGACAGCCTTACGACGCATGTGGAGTACAACCTACAGGAATAAAAAGAATCCACCTTGGGAGCTATCGACATATTATTTGTCAGCCTGGAAGAACCCTGTAATTACTATTCTGCTGTCTGCAGCGTGACTTGAAATTAGGGTCAGTGACGCCCCCTGAACTGCCCCTGCCGCGATTTAAAGGCCCGTGGGGTTCTACCTAGGTATCACACAAGTGCCCTCCTTACCTCACGCCCTCTCTCCTATCTAGTACTACACCCCGACTGATCCGTCAAACAAAACAATTGCCATTCCAAGATGCATCGCCTCCGTGACTCCCTGCTGAGCCCCTCGCCAAAAGGCTTCCCCGACACCAGCGAGTCAGACAACGCCTCTCGGAGTAAGCAAGATACGCTGGAAAGCTTCGCTCGCGGTTAATTCAAGGAGGTCCGAGGAGCAGCCGCCTTCAATCGAGCCTGGGTCATCACCGACGGATACTGCAATGTAGGAGATGGGGTGGGTCCCCTCGAACGCTAACTTCGTGATATATGGTACATGTACTACCAGCCCAGGGTACATGCGTCGCATGAAACTCCCGACCACCACAGCCTGGTCCTCGATATCCTCCGGATTCAAGGAAAGGGACCATTAACAAGGCCAGTGAAGGGGAATTACGGGATCGATATCGCACAAATGGCCGAAGGCACGCTGTGGACCTGCCGTTCCTGGTTACTGACATGACTGACTTCCGGATCAACATCTGCGGACCCAGGCGCCGGCACCCAGCGCCTCAATTTTGCCTCTTTCTTGGCCAAGCTGGCGTCAACCCGCGTCTACAAGGACAGAATGTGTCAGGTCGCCCTTGTCAACTTCCGCTGGACGTTCGAGGAGAGACGAGAGCTTCGCACCACCGATGATCAGGATAATGAAGACCCAAACTGGATCATGAATGCACTCGAGATTATGCACTTATTGCCAGCTGCCCATGCGTGGCTCAATGAGGCTGGTACCGATCTCATGCAACTCTCGGAGGTCTCATGGAATGATTGCCCTAGCACGAATGGCCAGGGTGGCCCCTGTTCCCTCGAATCAGAGTTTCGGAACCGATCGCCTACTGGATTCACACCATGGAGATGGATGTTCTGGCTCAAGGACTCTACGAAATTCAGGGATCGGCGAAAGAGGCGAAAAGCGTCTGGAGGAGTATTCCGCCGATGCCATTTCCGCCATGGCCAGGGAGGTGGAGGAACAAAACTCTAACATTTTGAGGGCTTACAGAACTTCTGGGGATCGGATATATCAAGACAAGCATTTGTTGTGTCTGGAAAAGCTTGTGGAGGTGAAGATCCCGAGGAGAGCGACCCCGAAGAAGGCGAGGAGAGCAAAAAGCCAGAGGAGCACGACAATGACAGGTAAATGCCGCTCTCTGTCGCTCGTTTTATAGTCCTCTGACTCAGATCGCTCTCCTTTACCCCTGGTCTGTATGAAATTGCAACTAGCGTGGGGCATGAAGAGCATGGGTTGCCGTCAGCTCGGAGAGTCCCGGTGGGAATTTATTTCAGGTGGCCAGATGCATTGTCTCTTCTCGATCCCTCTTGGCCCACCGTTCCAGGCAATTATCCCGTATCCTGGTTGCGACCACGAATCCTTTGCGAAAGACCTGGTCGAGCAGATCCAGTATTTTGGATTTTTGATCAACCGTGCGGGCTCGAGATCCCGCAACGGTCATTGGGAAAAACAGCATCACTCCAGGAATCTTGGAGTGGCGCAACACCTCGCCCGAGAGATACAGGATCGTAGTCAGGTGTTCGGTGATTTCAGCAGGTGATAACACCGGGGCTGGGATCTGGTCCCAGTATGGAAAATAGTCATAGTTGCCAGAGAGGAAGATCAGCAGAGCGTGGTAATACAGCAAAGCTAAGTTTGAATATTGATTAGGACCATCCTGGACCAGCTGGAGCAACGTCTTTGAGTGCCAGTTATAGATAGTTTCTTGGACGTCGAGTCCTTCAGCCCCAATAAGAGCAACTGACGGATCCGTGAACCGTTCTGCGTCAGGAATCATCCGAATTATAGTCCCGGCTCTGTTGTAGGTATTGTTAAATTAGAACAAGTCGCTAAGCTGCGAGTGCCAACTTACCGTAGGCTGAAGGCGGATGTCTCAATCATGAGGGTTATAATCTCTTCCATGGGCTCCCATCGAATGGCATCGCTCGACAAGGTCTCTTGAAGCCGAAGCCAGCATTCCTGAGAAAGGATTGTTTCTTCGTTATAGAGTAACGCTCGGCTGGCTTCGAGGACACGAAACAGGTCGTAGAATGTCCTTCGGGCCGATGACATGCAATCGCTTGGTCCTGCAAGCTGGAGCATTTTCGATGTTCCATAGAGCATGTGCTTGACCCAGCCTTCACCAGAATCGTCTGAGAGCAACTAGGTGTATTGATGTCAGTTAATCACGAATTCAATGCATCCGGTAGCGGATACCCTTTCTGATAAAAAACATACCTCAAACAGTCCAAGGAAAAATGTAGCCCAAAGAACATCCTCTTTTTGCATGACATTACTGTCTCCCAGACTAGACCGCAAAATACCCATTGACCTATGGTAAGAGGTCATGGCATCTACATAGGGGGGTTTCTCTCCCTGTAGTGCGCGACCGCCGGTATATCGATTAGCATCCAAAGCACCAACCGCTATCACTGCATGGTACAGGACGGAGGAAGTCGAAATTAGAGGAAGCAGCTCCGGGACAATTGATGAGAAGCTCATCGTGAACATGTTCTGTTGAATAAAAGCGACAAAATAATCAAGAAGGCGGGTACCCTTATCCCTCCCGATGGACTTAATTGGGTGAATGCCGGCGCCGTAACCTTTGATAGCCATTCCATTCTGATCAGAACTTGGGCGGCCGCAGCCAAAATCATTTCGCTGGGTTTTGTTGACAAACATAGGCATACCATGTCCCGATTGCTGCTGGGCAACGCACATCGTGTTTTGCCGAACGCAATGAACACATGGGATTCCCCCTTCACACTAGTAAGCATTAGGTGCACTGATCTAATAAAATCCGAGTTTCACACCGCAGACCTTGATGCGTCGTTTCGCGCAGCCGAGACAGCGCGTCACCCGCCTTCGCTTGTCCAGGGGGCCAACCATTCTCCCCTGCAACGTTGTTGATGATGACATGATCTGGAAGAAATTTCTAACAAAAATAGTGCGTATTTCCGATGACCACCAAGATGAAAATGGATATATTCGTGCGAGACATGTCTACCAGCAGGCTGTCGAGGTCCGATGACGCTAACCTAATTTGGAAGTAATATCGCGAGACAAGGACCCACATGGCTTCCAAGGTTTGAACATCACTTGATTCGACTTGGTGACCGATCTGGGTCTGATCAACTACCGCCCTATAAATTCCTATTCGGGAAGCTCATCTACTTGGGTAAAGAGAAAAGTCCCTATGGGCGCTTTGCTAGCAGGCAGAATGCTCGTGTACCACTCCCCCTTCCCTCCGTGATATATAATGGTCAGAAGGGTCCTCTGACTACTGTGGTTGGAATTCCATCATCAACTTTCATCTTCGACTTCCTCTTCAATTGATTCATCATGCTTTTCAGTCTTCGTCTGCTGCCCATTGTGGCTACGTCTGTCTTTGCAGTGGTAATCCCCAGCCCACCCGGACAATACGATGTGTTCTACAACACGGCAAAGATGATCGAAAAGACTCGAGTCGATCCCTTTGATCCCAAGAACGGATCGCGTGCAGTGATGACTTCGATCTTCGCCCCAACCAGCTGCAAAGTCGATCTCGAGAAGATAAATTACCTGCCCCCCGCAACAGCCGAGTACTACTCCGAGCTATACAGCGCAATGGGACTTCCCAACGGGACAATCCAATCCATCTCGTTCCAGGCGTGCCCAGAGCCGCCAAAAGGGCGTCACCTCCAGTTTCCCGTCGTGATCTTCTCGCCTGCTCTCGGCACGACCCGGCTGTTCTACAATGCCATTGCACAGGCTGTGGCCAGCGCTGGGTACATCGTGGTGTCTATTGACCATCCCTATGATGCAGAGTTCCTGGAGTTTCCGGACGGAAGCATCGTGACTGCCGCGAACATCACTGACGCGCAAGTCCCACTAGATGTCAACACCAGAGGGCGAGATGTCACGTTCTTGCTGGATCAGCTGAGCACAAAGGCTGGAGTGGAAGCTCTACTCCCTGGAACAGGGGCTGCGGGATTGCGAACTCGGCGAGTCGCAATGTACGGTCACTCGGTCGGGGGTGCAGCCGCTGCTGAAGCCATGCGTCTGGACCGCCGTGTTGTTGCCGGGGCGAACCTAGACGGTTCAATGTTTGGACCGGTGGTTCAACACGGGCTCCGGGGTCCATTCCTCCTGTTTGGACATGAAAATAAAACCCAGAAGACGGACCCATCGTGGGCAGAGTTTTGGTCAAATCTGCGGGGGTGGAAGTTGGAGCTGGAACTTGCCCAGGCTCAACATTACGCATTCTCTGACTTGTCCTATCTGATGAAACTCCTGGGTGTGCCTGTTCAAAATGTGCCGGCCATGCAAAAGATGGTTGGAACTTTGGATGGGTCCAAGGCATTCGAAATTGTTCACCGAACTGTCACTGCCTTTTTGGGGTTTGGGCTTCGTCAGGCATCGTCGACTCCGCTTGAAGAGGTCATCTCAGAATATCCGGAGGTATCAGTCTTTGCCCGTGGTAAATGAGACAATGCTTCCGAGAATGGATAGCACATATGGCAAGGTTCAGATCATCTGAGTATATTTACTGATGGAAGAGAAGAAGGAGGTTGGGGAGAAACTATATATATTACATGATCCAAGCAGAAGTCAGAGTGAATGGAGTTGAGTGATCAAAGCGAATGAGCAGGTATATCTGGTGCTATTTATTCTTTGATAACGTATATGGCATCGAATAAAAATTCGATAATTAACTACCTGGCATCTGCTAGTGTATATGAATTGGAGCTCTCTATAAGTAGTGTGATAAATTTTCGGGTACTAAACCCAATGAACCAAGGACTTGTTTCTTTGTGTAGGAAGCTCCAACTGAGATCAATCCTTAACCATTCAGTGCCTCCCTGCTCCACATAATTGGAGCACCACTCAAGTCCTTAGTTCCTTCATGTTCCGAGAATTCATGGATCCCATGGCCCCCTCTCGACAAATCAACGCCTAGCGTACGAGGATCCCACCTTCATCAACCCCATAGCCACCAATTATTGGATTCTATCAGCCTATCCAACACGTAATCTGACACATACGACCATAGGGTGTGGAAAACAGGGCTTCCCGTCCGCTCAGCCGTACTTAAGCCACACGCCGGTGAGTTAGTAGTTGGGTGGGTGACCACCAGCGAATCCTCACTGTTGTATGTTTTTGT